ATTTTCTTGCTGTTTCTCACTCTGTCATGGACTTCCCAACCAACCCATTTGTGTTTAGCCCAGCAGCAGCAGCAGCAACCCATCAAAACCATTGTGGTTTTGGTCATGGAAAACAGGTCCTTTGATCATATGCTTGGGTGGATGAAGAAAGCCATTAATCCAGCAATCAATGGTGTCACAGGCAAGGAATGCAACCCTGTTTCAACCAAAAATGCAGACCCAAAATCCATTTGCTACTCAGACGATGCTGAGTTTGTGGATCCGGATCCGGGTCACTCATTTGAAGCAGTGGAGCAACAGGTATTTGGGTCTAGTTCCCTTCCTTCAATGACTGGTTTTGTAGAGCAAGCATTATCAATGTCCCCAAATCTCTCCGAGACAGTCATGAAAGGCTTTAGGCCTGAATCTGTGCCTGTTTATGCGGCTTTAGTGCGAGAATTTGCTGTATTTGATAGGTGGTTTTCTTCAATTCCTGGCCCAACACAACCCAATAGGCTTTTTGTGTATTCTGCAACTTCTCATGGCTCAACAAGCCATGTTAAGAAGCAATTGGCTTCAGGGTATCCACAAAAAACCATATTTGATTCGGTTCACGAGAATGACATGAACTTTGGTGTTTACTTTCAAAACATACCCACCACTATGTTCTATAGAAATATGAGGAAATTGAAGTACATTTCTAAGTTTCATCAGTATGATTTGAAGTTTAAGAAAGATGCCAGGAAGGGGAAGCTCCCAAGTTTAACTGTGATTGAGCCGGCCTATTTTGATCTAAAGGGAATGCCTGCAAATGATGATCACCCTTCTCATGATGTTGCCAATGGGCAAAAACTAGTTAAGGAGGTCTATGAGACACTGAGAGCAAGTCCTCAGTGGAATGAGACCCTTTTGGTCATCACCTATGATGAACATGGTGGATTTTTTGATCATGTCAAGACTCCTTATGTTAATGTTCCTAACCCAGATGGGAACAGTGGCCCTGCTCCATATTTCTTCAAGTTTGATCGGCTTGGGGTTCGTGTACCGACAATTATGGTCTCTCCATGGATTAAGAAAGGAACTGGTAAGCTCAAATTCTCATTATTTGGCCTGTCTTAGCTGTAATTTTAGATGTTAGCCTTCAATAATTGATGTGATATTGGTCCACTTACCTGTTCTACCGGATCTGTCTGGTATCTTTTGATTTCTTTCTGTCTCTGAGTGTACAAATTAAATTGGATTAGTTGGCTGAATTTCTTGATTCAAAATGTTGTGCATATTGTGTCTGTGGATCAAGTAGAAGTAGAATTTGGTGGGTGGGTTATTGTATTGGGGTCAACCCATATTGCTACATCTGCATATTGTTGAGCATCTGAAATGTGTAAAGTAGAATCAATCAAGGGTTTTCTGTTTCACTTCTTTATTGCACTGATGTTTATTTGGTTTTGCAGTAATGAGTGGTCCACAAGGACCTACACCAAACTCTGAGTTTGAGCATTCTTCAATCCCTGCCACCATAAAGAAGATGTTCAACCTCTCGTCTAACTTCTTAACTCACAGAGATGCATGGGCCGGCACATTTGAGCATGTTGTTGGGCAATTGACTTCTCCCAGGACTGACTGCCCAGGTATCTATCTATCTATCTATCTATCTAGAATCCGAATTAATCAAATTTATGCAGTGTTCATGACAAAAATTATTTGGAGATCTATTAGAAAGTAACAGGGTTAGAAGAGAATTGATTAGAAACATGAAAAGTTGATCCCTTTAAGCAGAACAAAAGGAAAAACAAAGAAAAATGAAGATACATTTGTCACTGTGGAGCCCCATGCATCATCTTTATTTTCCAACTTGTAGCTCAATGGATATATCATATATTGAGGTTGTCAATGGAAGAAAGCTGAAGCTGTCTCCTACTGAATTCTTGTAGAGACCTTGCCAGATGTGGTGCCTTTGAGGAGCACAGAGGCGAAAGAAGATGCCGGTTTATCCGAGTTTCAGGGCGAGGTAGTCCAATTAGCTGGTGTACTTAATGGTGACCACTTCTTGAGCAGCTTCCCTGATGAAATGAGCAAGAAGATGAGCGTGAAGCAAGCTCACGGGTACGTAAAAGGTGCTGTTTCAAGGTTCATTAGAGCAAGCAAAGAGGCCATCAATTTGGGAGCAGACCAGTCAGCAATTGTAGATATGAGATCTTCCCTCACAACAAGGTCCTCGATTAAAAATTAATTCATCCTCCTTGGGTCTCTCTTCTATACATTCATCAGTGTTTGTGCTCATGTCCCATATAAAACGTTAGGAAATTGTTAAAATGCTTGTGTTCGATTGCTTGTTTTTCTATGCGTCTCTATGAACCGTTGTCTATATTTGTCTACTACATCACTTGAAACAAGTGTCTTTCTTTCTTAATAGAAAATTAAGAGGTAGTCATGGGCTCAAACCTCTTTGGGCACCCTTCACGTTCGCTTGTGTAATTTTAAAATATGTAGTTGCGTTACCCTTTGAACATTTTACTTTCAGAAGAATCAAGGCAGTCATCAAGTTCAAATTTAAATGCTCTTGGAATTGCTTTCAATGATCCTGCTTTGACCAAAGTGAGAGGCTGAGTCTTCACCTAATTTGGGTTTTGTTTTTTGGGTGTATTTAGCATTAAATCAAACAAAAAACAAACTTCACCAGTTAGCAACTCAGCCTAAAGCAGAAACCCACTAATGAAGAAAAAAGATGCTCCAAGGTTATATGGTAAATGCTACAACTTGAAGGAATTCCAAATTCTTGATGAAGAAATGAAGTAAACTACTTACACCCAAGTATAGGCCATGTTAAATGAATAACAGGTTCAGAAAAGGCCACCTCCAGATACACACCCACCTGTTTTCCAACTAATCAACATTCTTACTTATCATATAGAATTAAAGTTTCTCCACAAACGCTACTGAACTCATCCTTCAATATTTATCGGAACCTGCTGCTGTTCCTCACAAAGCAGAGAATTTCTATATCATGGAGACACCCAAGCATTGTTCTGAATCATGGAGAGAAAGAGCAAGAGAAAACCAAGCAAGCATGCCTCAGATACAACAGATTACATAACAGACCACAACCGCCCATTATCAACATGAAACCAGAGTTAATTTAGGACTTGATGAAGCAAAAAACCAACTATTAATTGCATATGTAAGTAGGGTAGGTAACAGAGATGGGCAAGAAGAACTAACAAAATACCAACAATTGATAATTACAAGGCGCAAATGAGAAAGAGAAGATTCTATCTGGAAAGTTCCAAAAAGGGTAGGGTTTTTTTCTTAATTTGTTTAATAAATGGTATAGCCGCACGGCTGTACTTTTGAAATATAATATCTTAAAAGGGTATCGCCTCGCCGCGCCGCTGTACTCCGGTATTTTTTTAAATTTTTTGAAATTAATAGTATAGCCGATCGGCTATACTATTCTTTTTAAAAGGTCCGCCTAGGTTCTACGCGATGAAATTAGTAGTATAGCCGCTCGGCCATACTAATTTTTTAAATAAATAGTATCGCCGAGCGGCTATACCCCTTTTAAAAAACTAATAGCCGCACGGCTATACGTATTTTGACACGTGACACCTAATTGCTAGGAGGGTCCTCTTTTGTTTTTTATAAATCGTATAGCCGCACGGCTGTACTCGATTGTTTTTATTTTTATTTTAATAAATAGTATAGCCGTCCGGATTTTTTAAATTTCGTTTAAAAACAGTATAGCCGCGCGGGATTACCGTGTTTTTTTTGTTTTAATTTTTTAAAAATAAATAGGGCTGAACCAACAGCTAAAAGTATGACTATACATGTAATTTACGTCAAACGCATACAACAGCCTGAACCAACATGTGTAATCTTCAGACTGAACCAAGAAGCCTGCCTCCGTTTGGGAATTAAAGCCTTGTTATTACTCCATTAGTACATTAAGAATCAGCTTATTCCCCTAATTAAAATTAAACACACCCAAATGCCCGATGAATAACAGGTTCAGGAAAGGCCACTTCCAGATAAACACCCACCTGTTTTCCAACTAATCAACATCACAACTTTCTCCACAGACGCTACTGAACTCATCCTCCAATATTTATCGGAACCTGCTGTTCCTCACAAAGCAGAGAATTTCTATATTATGGAGACACCCTTTGTTCTAAATCATGGGGACAAAGACTAAGAGAAAACCAAGCATGCCTTAGATACAACAGATTACATAAGAGACCACAACCACCCATTAACAACATGAAACCAGAGCCAATTTAGGACTTGATAATGCAAAAACCATCTGGAAACTTCCAAATGCATTTATAAATGTTAATAATCGTTAATATATATTCGGAATAAGGTACTGCATACCTTGCGGAAGATTCCAAGTGAAAAACCGCTTGCAA